ACTTCACCGGCTTCTCACTACTATGTTTAGATAATTCGGATTAGTTTCGTCTTGCCCCATAATACTGGGATGGAGAGAATGGATTTTTTTAATATAATTCGTTGGTGGTAAAAAATCACATACATTATCACTTGCAAGCTTTGTAAGTGTCTATCTATACTAATATTTTAAATAAAACTATCTTTTCGGATTTTTTCGCGGATTTATTTTGATTTTTGGTTCCCGACGTTTCTAATATTAATAATACTATGTACTAAAATTATAAAGAGACAGTTTGTTTGTTTGAACACGTTAATCTCAGAAACTACTAATCCGATTTGATTTTTTTTTCATTAGATAGCCCGTTATTGACGAATGCTATAGGCTCTATATCACTAAGCTACTACAAAGGAAGCGGGGCAGTAATCATAAATGTCAACAAATCGGACAGACTTCCATGCATTATTTCAAAACTGGTGTTTATATCGGAAGTTTAAACGCGGGTGAAACCGCGGGTGCTGCTAGTGATTTAATCTAATGATAGGACATTCAATAGTAAGGAATAAAATCAAAGATTTCATATACAGATAGATATACACTATACATCACAATAATTGAAGTTTCATTAAAATATAGATATATCATATTATAGTATCTTATAAATATAATAAGGCTGTATGCTTATTATTTATTATTACCAAACATTACTTTCGACGATCCACTAGCGCTAAAAATGTCAGTCATATAATCATTTGTCTCAGTCAGTATTGAACCCGTGACCCCAAATATAAACTCAGATACACAAACTATAAAATGTCCGACAGACGACCCTTTTAAGCTGTCCATCTTAAATATTAAACAATACATTATAATGTCCCATCAATCAAATTACAACAACATAATTCAGCCTTGTCTCAAAACGCTATTCAACCTATCATTATGAAAGCTATCGTACAATCAATGGGCAATAATTTAAAGGATGAATATCCTCAAATGCACTTACGTCTCAAAGAAATGATTGACAAGATAATAAGGGTTAGCGAACGAAATCATGTGACGTCAAAACCTGTAAATTTCTTCTCTATTTGAGTAAAAGACAGACCTCCTATATGTTTTAAGCTACCTTGTTATATTTAAGAAACGATTTCAAAGAATCTATTCATACTAATAAATCTATACATATAAATAAAGTGAAAGTGTCTGTTTGTGATTTTAAAATAACTATGTTTTCTTAAGAAGGTACATTGAGTTGTTTATATGAGGCCTATCTAAACAACCCTTATTGAAAATTTTGTCTGTCTGTCTGACTTTCTGTTTGTCCGGGGTAATCTTTGAAATGACTTAACCGATTGTAATGGGACTTTCACTGAAAGATAGAGAAGTTTGTAGGGCTATATAGGACATACCGACAATAATTAGGTTTTTAGCGCGAAAATGGAAAACTCTTAAATATTTTAACTTAAAGCAAAGTTCGAATTTACGATTTTACGAAAAAGTCTGCATTAGCATGAGTGTATCTCCTAAGGCACATTTAAAATATAACTATTTTTTATATTGAAAACGTGACCGGGCGAAGCGAAGGTAAGTCGCTTATCTATACATATAATAAAATTGTAACGAAGTCGAACCTGTACATTAAATATTTTTTGGGAAATCTAATTGAAATAGACATTATTATCGATACAGAGTCCGAATCTATAGTTTTTAGAATTTTTGTCTGTCTGTTTGTCTATCTGTGTGTCCGTTACCGCATCACGAGAAAACCACTGGACAGATTTTGATGAAATTTGGTATGGTGATAGCTGGTTATCCGGGTCAAGATATAGGATACTTTTTATCGCGGGAAAATATCTCATTTTTGAGAAAAAATACAAAAACACAAAAGCTGCATTGTAAGAGTATACTAATATGTAAAACCTAAGAATTTGGTTTTTGGTTTTCATCTGAACGCGGGCGCAGCCGTGGGCAATGCTAGTTCTTTATAAAAAAATTAAAATCGCTTTAATAAACAGATTGAAATTAAAGACGACAATTCAAACGACTGCGATATTAAATATGAAAAGCTTGAAATTATCGTTAGTACCTACTTGTTATAACCTCATTATATATTAGATATGCAAAGAACAAGTTATAGTTATAAAGATTTCATTAAAATAGATATAAGATAAGAGGGAAATGGTACTTAAGTATCACGAGTTTAATTACGCTGAGAGATGACCACTTCTAATGTTCAAATTTAATGGATATAAACCCAAAAGATAGTCTTCTTACATTAACAGTGTGATAAGTACAGGTTCGATTCTCTATGGTGGGATTAATACTAATTTTTCTTTAAGTTAAAGTCATTTTTGCAAAGAAAACTTTACATACCGAAGTTTACTTTCAATCATTTCGATTTCTCAGTCGTAAATATAGTTGGCATTTACATATGACATAATTCTAATCTTAATAACCTGACTACTGTCTAACTTATTGTATAGTCGATTTTACGTTTATTTTGATTCCAAAGCAACTACAATGAATGCTCTGTCTTTACTAAGCAAAGTACTGTTTTCAACCGACTTTCTCAAAAAGAAGGAGGTTCTCAATTCAGCTGTATGTTTTTTTATGTTTGTTACCTCAGAACTCCGTCATTTGTTAACCGATTTGGACAATTTTTGTTTTGTTTGAAAGTGTATACTTCCAGATTGGTCCCATTTAAATTTTAAAAGGGTGGAAAAATAGCTAATGATGAATTTAACCTACTTCTAATTGTCATATTGACTTGAAACTTTGTAAGTATTTCTATTTCAGAATAGAAATATGAATTCAGAATTTAGAATAATTCAAATAGCTAATAAAATGCTATAGGAATTATTCTAAAATAATTTCATATCTATCTATATAAATTGTAACTAATCGCTGTCTGTACATGGAAGATATTTGAAAAAAAATATTGGGGGTCCTTATTAACGCAATAGAATCAAAAAAAAAAAAATTTTTAGAATTTTTGTCTCCTTGTTTGTTTGTCTTGCGTTTGAGGATTTGTGATTTGGGTGCGGTTTTCACTAATGTATTGTGGTAATCTTCACTTGACATTTAGTATGTTGTTTTATTTCAATCAGTTTGGATCGAGATCCCGCTGCAAGTTTGCTACGTTCATAGCGTATTTAATCGAAATCATTTTTTTAGATACAATAATAAAAGGGTCAATAAGTTTTGACCGGGGTGCCTATTCAAATGTGTCCGCTAGTATGTTTAATTAACTAAATAATAGTCGACTTTTTGGAACAAAAACGATGCATTTGTTATTACAATGAATTTTACTCCACTTCACAGAACTATACGTAGAGATCTTGAAAAATGATAGCTGCCGTTGCGCATTTGGCCGCAACCTCTTCGCAGCCAGGTGTAAGCGGGTCATATTTTGGGACGTTTATACGTTAATCGCGTATGCTCATCATTTATATATCAAATAAAGCTAATTTTTTTCTGTACCTGATAAACTACATCTGTCTATGTAAAAGTGGCCGCAAAAGTGATTGCGAGTCATTAAAAATGTTTTTGTTACATTTATACGTTCATGGCGTATATTCATCATTTATATATCATATTATAGGTAATATTTTTCTTTGCATGATAAAATACCACTCACTTATATAAAAGTGGCCGCAATGGAAAGAAAAGAAGGAAAGAATATAATAATATATATCATTTGACAGACAATAACAACGGTTACCATGGCAACTAAGAGTTAACTAACGCGCTAACTCTTTCACTTTAATCTATCTTTGCCATGAACGTATAAAGTTAATTAGTCCAGTTCATAAATAAAAAAAATATGTCAATTTAAAGAATCACCCAGGGACGAATCCGAGCGAAGCGATGATGAGTCGCTAGTTTCTTATATGAGCGGATATTCTATTATACATGTTTTCAATATGACAAGAACGTGACTAGGGAAACTCAGCAGAACAAAGAACACTCGTCCCACGTGTTGCTACACGCAAATCACTTATTTTGCTGATCTTCGTATAATTACGTAAAAGTGGAAAGGCGGTAGATAACCGTAATAAGAAATGTTTAACTTGTTCTATTTTAATCTATACATATAATAAAATTAAGTCGAATCTGTACATTAAATATTTTTTGGAAAATCTAATTGAAATGGATATATTATTATCGATACAGAGCTCGAATCTATAGATTTCAGAATTTTTGTCTGTCTGTCTGTTACCGCATCATGAGAAAACCACTGGACAGATTTTGATGAAATTTGGTATGATGATAGCTGGTTATCTGGGTCAACATATAGGATACTTTTTACCACGGGAAAATGAGAAAAAATACAAAAACTGCATTGTAAGAATACACTAATATGTAAAACCTAAGAATCTGGTTTTTGGTCATTTAAACGCGGGCGGAGCCGCGGGCAATGCTTGTACTATTCATAAAGATAAACGTAGAGAAAAATGAATGCTTATTTAAGTGTAGCGCATAAAATAACAAGTATAGTAAATGCATATAATAACTATGCTATTAGAATGTTATAACGGCGGAGTTGATTATAATTGAGTTATTATAATTAAAAGAAGTTTTGAATGCAACCATACATATGACAGCCTGAACTTTACGAAAAATAAAGAGAATTTACCTATAATCTAAAGCATCTTATCGAAATCTATATAAATTAAACAATTCTGGAAAATGCTTAGTTATCATACGTTTTGCTTTGTACGTGAATAAATAAATCTAAGGACTCGCAACGAATGTATTTGACCAGGAGGATAAAATTGGGAGAATCAAAAAGGTATACTGAGATCGTAGCGCCTGCGACTCTAATTTCTAACTGCTATAGTATGAATATTGAATAAAATCTAACTATGTTATAATAGCACCATCCCGTTGTGTCTTATTAAATTCTGTAACCAAAGGTTGTCTGTAAAGATTGCTTTCACCAATAAGACCGCCTTTCGTGCCTTATAATATATTTTGTATTTTGTGTTTGCAATAAAGAATAAATGGTAAAAAAAATAACTCACGGTAAAGAAATGCGGTCTCAGCCTTCCTATAGTATACTTGGCGACATCGGTGGTCAGTTGCTGGCAGGCGCACCCAAAGAGGAACACACCGATCACACGATACGCCTCCCAAACCCAGGCTGGTATCTCCTTGCCAAGTATGACGCGTGATCTTCCCCCTCTGTAGTCCCGGAGCCTGATCCACTCGGTGAGGCACATCTGTGAAAGGTACAAAATTTATATTTATTACTATCAAAAATATGTTATTTAATAAATAGTTATTTAATAAAAATGCTGTATATTTTTTATGAAGCCTAACTAGTGACTTATTATCGCATCGCTCGGGTGTGTCTCTGAGTGGCCCTGTTAGCCACTTGGGGACTATTATTTCAGCAACTAGTAACAGTCGAAATTTTGTCAAATCGAGTAATTACGTTCGTTTAATTAATTATTAATAATAACATTTAATTAAGTACACCTTGTATAAAATTATAACATGCCCGAATTCCACAAATTAATACTTTTAATTTTTAATCGAGGTTATCATATCGCAAAAACGACTTAGCATTGAGCTCAATGAGCATTAAATGTTAACTTTATAATACGTAAACTATATAGCCCTTAAAAGTTGAGTATAATCATGTTTATATGAAAAAATCCTTTTGAGGGAGGTCAGTAATACTATGATTCAAATCAATAGTAGGTAAATCAAATCATTAGCGCGTTTCGCCTTTTTGACCATCTTGATCTGTATTTTTTTGTAAGATGTAGGTAATATTTATATTTATATAATATACCTATATCTTCATCCATTGTAGATTAATTTCCTTAACTTTTTTTTTAGGTTATACTTCAAGGATGATCCTATTTACTTAGAAAAAAAATCTATCTCCAAGGCTAGAATAAATTCTTTGATTTTTTAAGCTAATAAATTATTCGTTTGAACGTCATATTTCTACTTGTGGCTAACAACCCATAATACAATTTTTTATCGACGCATAATTTGTGTCATGACCTTGTTGATATAATGCCTTGGCAACAAAAAAATATTCGCATGTTCACATAAAATTTTACGTGTCCGTATATTAAATATAGACAACTAAGTTCTTTCGTAATCAGCAATATATGTATCTATGTATATATATAATAAAATTGTAACTAAGCTGAATCTCTGCATTAAATATTTTTTGGAAAATCTAATTGAAATAGACATTATTATCGATACAGAGGCCGAATCTATAGTTTTTATAATTTTCGTCTGTCTGTCTGTGACCACATCACGGAAAAACCACTGGATAGATATTGATGAAATTAGACCTGAAATTATTATACTTATGACGACCTGGATTAACATAATATAGGCTACAGTTAGTAACAAAATTTACCAGAAGGTGGCGCTGATAGTTTACCAAAAGATGAAAACATACATTCATATTATATAGGTAGGTATATAAAGAAAAACTAATTTAAGTATCATAGTATAAGAAAATAGTACACTATTAATAACAGGAAACGTCTGAAATAAGTAATAGTTTAAATACTGTCTAATGCCTATGTTTAAACCTCAATAAGCAATAAATTGAAATAAATACGTCATAATAATTGTGCATTATATTTTATAATCAAAATAATTCATCACGAGACTTGCGTGTAATGATATCGAAATGTATTAGTCGACAGTGCGCGACCCTCGCTATACAAGGCCATTATAAATTGCAGGAAGATATTATGCATTAAATACTTGTTTTAATGCTGAGAATAAATGAAAAAAAATAATTGATTTTTATAATCAAAACATATACCTATTATAACCTATATAATAAGTATATGTTTTGATTATAAAAATCAATTATTTTTTTTATATTTACATATAAATATATCATTAGGCAAAAAAAATGTTGAGTATTTAAATTAAGCATTTATTACCGCTAGCTGCTAGAGCTGAAAGCTACTAAAAAAATAAACAAAAAACAAATATGTATGTTATTGTAAAAATAATTCACTAATATATATATATATTGAGAAAATGTAGCTTTAAAAGATATATGAAAAATAAAAGAATTATTAAGTATATTAGGTTTTATAGTAGTTCTATAAGATATGGTCATACTATAATTATTTAATGCTTGCAAACAAAATGAAACTCAAACAATTCCGTAGACAATAGCTAGTGTAAAAATGAAACTAATGGAATTGATATCTATGTAAATATCGAAATACGTTTCTTTTCTAAGAAATCGTTATTTAAATGTAATCGTATCTCACTATACAGCGTACCATGCATGTACATGATATTTTACAAGAGAAAATTACCATAAAAATTCTATACATACTTCGAAAAGCTAAAACGCTGCAACTTGCTTTCATTCCAAGCGACATGACATATTCGATTAAACAATTTATTTAAAAAATATATTTATTGTTGATTTTTTTAAAAACCGCTCGACCGATTTCTATAAACATTTACCGTTAAAACATACCCGAATTGATGTACCCAAGTGAAGCAAGGGTGAGTCGCTAGTACTTGATAAAAATTAATATTTTTTTATTATAAAAATGATAATATTGAGCAACTATGTACACATATTAACCTGCAGTCTTAGCTTATATTGCTTATGGAACGTGTTTTGCATGGGCAGAGTTTATGAATTGGAAATAGAGTCATAATTTATTAGACGACTGACAGTAACAGAACGTTAGGATCAAATAGGTTAGATTTCTTATATTTACTTACTTTCCGTTTATTTATAAGAGTAAACCCTATTATACTTCAGACATCCATACTAAAATTATAAATGTGAAAGTGTGTTTGTTTGCCTTTCTTTCACGTCGAAACGGAGTGACGGATTGGCGTTATTTTTTGTGTGTAGATAATTGGAGGGCTAAAGAGTGACATAGGCTACTTTTTACCACGGGAAATCATCTAATTCCCATGGGAAAACACGTTATAATACAATCTAAAAATAATTATGATCAGAATTACTTAAAACTCGGTGTTAATGCTCTTTAATAAAATTAAATAAACACGTGTTTTATAATTTTTCGAAATTCATCCTATAAGGGGTTAAAATAGAGGATGAAAGTTTGTATGAAACTACCTTTTTAGAGATTTTTTTTGTAGTAAGCCGCGGGTTCTGCTAGTATTATTATAATTGCGAAAGTTTGTATGTATGTTCGTAACTCCTTTGCGCTGACGAATTTGGATGTTTAGTATATAGATAAACTAAGAGTACTGGAGTAACACGGATAATTTTTAGATACCTTCCTAGGTGCGTTCCTACGCACCCGAGCGAAATAACTAATACTTTTATATATTCGTAAAACCTCTCATAATAAACTACGGTTGTACCGAACTACAAGTAAAATCACAATATCGCTACATATTAATATTTGAAAATTTTCGCGTAACAAAACAAAACACTCTGCTTGTAACATAATGATTAATCGATTATCATATTATTTAAATATGTATTCAGAAAGAGGATGCAATATATCATTGTCTCATAGACTATGCAGATTCTGGAACAAGTTTCGCATGAATATAAAAGTCATGCTTCATTGCGTAGTGATAGTCCAATATCAATTGTTTGAGACCGAGCTCTTCATTGCATGCGTTTGTGTTATAAATTCTATTGAAATCCTATAGGAGGTTACATTTGTATTAATGTTTGGTATACTTATTCATTACCGTCAACTAGTTTTGCTTCACGTCTTTGCTTCTTACATATTTATACTAATATTGCAAAGAGGTAGAGTTTTTTGTTTGTCTGAACGCGCTAATCACAGGAACAACTAATCCCGCTATACTACTAATGAACTAGATAGCCCGTTTATTGAGGATATATATCATCATCATGCTTACTACCCAAGGGTACGGAGTAGTAATCTATACAAGAAAGATTAAAGAGGTAAAGTTTGTGATCTTGTGAGTTTGTGGGTTTGTGAGTTTGTGAGTTTGTGACGTTGTAGGGGGTAATCTCTGGATCTACTAAACCGATTTTCAAAATTCTTTTACCAATAGAAAGCCACGTTTTTTCTGAGTGTCATAGGCTTTATATTAACCCGAAGAATGAAAAGGCTTTTTCGTGGTAGTCGGATTTGCGAAGTCGGAGAAAAAACGGTCGAACGAAAACGTTTCTTACGAACGCTTTTTTTTTTTTTAAAGTTGGGAAATGCATTTACGCACGACGTGTGGGACTCACCGGCGTAATACAGCCAGTACTACCCACTAAAGCCCAACAAAACCTTCCCCCGTCTTAATGGGGCGTCGCAGGATCGCTTACGCATTCAACTACGACGCCCCGACGGCAGGTCTGCCGAAGCAGACCACCACAACCATGGGGTTGCTCCAAGGTCCACTCTGCTATCAGAGAAGTACCAGGAGCAACCCGCAAGGTACACCGCCCCCCGAAGAGGGCCACCTCCCACCGCCCACCGAAGTGGGCAACCGCCCTGTGCGTTTCTTAGCTTCGCTACTACTACTGAGCCCCCCCACCACGACAAGGTGAACGCACGTTGGGGGGGGGGTTTACGAACGCTGCCTTAACCATGAGAGATATATGATTATGTTCTAGAGAAAAGTTGTAGAGCTTAATAATGCCTACAAAAAAGTCAGCGACAGCATATGTCTAACTTTTATATTTAAGTCACAAAAAGTAGTTTTTTATATTAATAAAATAATTTAAATCGGTAGGTCATGTTTATTGTTCATATTATCAACAATTTTGGAAATGTCATAACTTTTTTTATTATAGATATAGAATTAAATACTTAAAATGTTTTAAAGAATCGATCGACTTATCGATCGACTGATCGATCGACTGATCGATCGACTGATCGATCGACTGATCGGTCGACTGATCGATCGACTGATCGGTCGACTGATCGGTCGACTGATCGATCGACTGATCGATCGACTGATCGATCGACTGATCGATCGACTGATCGGTCGACTGATCGGTCGACTGATCGGTCGACTGATCGGTCGACTGATCGGTCGACTGATCGGTCGACTGATCGGTCGACTGATCGATCGACTGATCGATCGACTGATCGGTCGACTGATCGATCGACTGATCGGTCGACTGATCGGTCGACTGATCGATCGACTGATCGATCGACTGATCGATCGACTGATCGGTCGACTGATCGGTCGATTGATCGGTCGACTGATCGGTCGACTGCTCGATCGACTGATCGATCGACTGATCGGGCGACTG